AAATAATAAATACAATATTTAAGACCTCTGTTACTAGCATTTACTCTTATGGAAATGGCATAGTGTTTATGCTTTAACTGCTTGTAATTAATATTTTTGCTTGCATACTTGCGTATATTGTTGTCTCTGGCATAATAAATTGCTTTTGGTTGTCTAATTATCAATTTTAAGTCACACTTAAAGCATTAAATAAGAAGGCTATTCAAAGATCCTGATGTATCAGTCCACCTTAAGATCAGACGAGCCTGAGCCAGACAACTGCAAGTCAGCCAATCAGAGAAGCTCTTACTGTGATGATGCAGTTATGAGTCCATGCTGCTGCTAAAAACAACATCAAGAGAAAGACGCTCACGATAGTTTTAGTCATTGGTTGTGGTTTATGACATGATTTTGAAGTAGGCTGACAGGACATGATGGCTGATAGAGAGAATGTCGAGCGCCCAAACACAGCTGGTATGTGATTGTACCTCTGATCCGAATGTCTGACTTATTCTAAACATTTATATTAGAATGAACATACGTTTTTCAGCTGTTCAATACTGCGTTATGTTCAATGCAGGTCTATTATGGACTGTGTAAGTAAAGCCATAATTGTTGAAACGCCTCTTACACAAGTGAAAGATATCCTCGTACATTGCTGAAACTACGGTCAATGTACAATGTGTACATTTGAACATAACCATGCGGGAAAATGTTTCGAAAGTGCTGTTTAGTGTTTACTTCATGTGTGATAAAGCAAACATCGCGAGAGGCACGATGGCTGATGATGTCGAACGTGGAGTGACGAGCGTGTCCACAGTGACAGGAGCAGAGCGGGCGCTTTCAATTTATTCCGGAAGTTCAGCTACAGGCTAGGGTGGAGATTGATTGACAATAATGCAAGACATTTTCAAATATCTGTATGAAAGCCATTTCTATGGAAGCTTGTTTCCTCCAAAGAATTAAAAAATAGAACTTTCTCTCACAATTCTGACCTTTTATTTCAGTAGCGTGATGAAAAACTTGCAATTGCGAACTATAAACTGCAGAATTGAGTGATATAGTCAAAATCGCCTGATTTAAAGTCGCAGTTAAGTAGAAAGTCACAATTGTGAAAGTCAGAATTGCATGAGATAAAGTTGCTATTGTGTGTTATGAAAGGAATTGTGATTTAAAAATTCCCAGTTCTGAGAAGAATGTTTTCTTCCAAGTTGGACTTTATATCTCACAATTTTGGGAAGTCGGAATTGCGAGAAATAAACTTGCACTTGTGAGGTAAAAAGTTCCTATTATTTTTTCAAAGATTTTATTCTGTGACAGAAACAAGCTTTCATACATTTCAGTAGGTATTGAGAAACAATCTTATAATTAAATGTGAGTTAAATGTGAGACACTTTGGCTACAGATACAAATGTGAGAATTTACTTGTAGGAATTTATGTCCATAGAGTGAACTTTAAATATCTTTTATATAAGTGTTTATATAAGAAGCTTTTCAACAACTAAACATACGCCTATCAGATCTATCTTGATTTATTAATCTGGTCACTGTTAGGTCGTAACCTGAGGGAATGGCTCCAGGAGCAATTCGGCGACAGGCCTCTGGAACCGAGTGAGGACATGCGTCTACACAACGCTGCCCATTTGGGAGATCTAGACACTCTCAGGACCCTACTACAAGAAGACAGCTTCAAACAGTGAAATTTCATTCATTCATTCATTCATTCATTCAGTCAGATGGTGATTCAAATGATGATCTGGGTTGCTTAATTAACACAGAATATTAGATTGTGTTAGCTGAAATGTGTAACATTTAATTCCTTTTTAGGCGAATCAACGAGAAGTTGATTTGGTCATGTGGTTTGTTGCCCTGCACGCCCCTGCGTATTGCTGCCATGATGGGTCACAGCGCATGCGTGGAGTTCCTGATCTCTCAAGGAGCTGGAGTGGACCTGGTGGATGTGAAGGGTCAGACACCTGTGTTCGTGGCTGTGGTGAATGGACACCTGGACTGTGTGAAGATCCTTCTGAGAGCTGGTGCTGATCCGAACGGCAGCAGGCATCACCGAAGCACACCTATATACAACGCTGCACAAGTGGGCCGAGTGGACATCCTAAGAGAGCTGATCAGGTAGGATCGCTTAACACTGATATATCTTTCAAACTCTGCCATTACTGAGTGACTAATTTGAATGTGCAGTCGTGGCCTAATAGCTAGAGAGTCAGACTGGTAACCAAAAGGTTGTGGGTTTGATTCTCAATACTGGCTGGAAATGATTGAGGTGCCCATCTGAATGTATTTGGCATTTTTTGGGGCATTTAACAAACAAGCAAAACAATGATGTCGCCTCGGACGTTCTCTCGGTATCATTTTACTTGTAAATGTAGTTGTAAATATGGCTGAAATCACAGCACAGACATTGTCTTTAACTTGCAGTATGTACATGGTGATTTTGTCAGACGATCAAAATGTTAGCAATGCCAAGCAGCGGTTAGGAATATGACTGCACTCGTTCAACAGAAACAAAACAAATATGTAAATGAGAATAGCTTTATTGGGATTTTAGTTCTAACCGAATCTAGTTCATTAGTCTGTATGTGGCCTGTAATACACACAGGTTCAATGCTGATGTTGATATTGACCATCGACTGGAACAGAGGGCTATGGACGGCACCAACTCTTTGGCAACTCTGGTAGTCTGTCCACTGTACATCACCGCTGTTTACCACCACTTCCCCTGCTTCCAGATGCTTCTGAATGCCGGGGCTAACCCAAACTACAACTACAATGGCCCCGTGAACAGGGAAGCGCTGGTCAGGGGCCGGGCCTCCTGTATACTGGATGCAGTTCTGAAACGCAGATGCGAACCAGCCTTTGTTCGCTTGCTGTTGGACCATGGCGCTGACCCGTATCTAGTCCCCTGGTACAAGCCCGATCCTGACAGCATGGTCAATGCTGAAGCCCTTCAAATCTTCCAGGAGGCCAAAAGTAAGTTGTAGATGATGTCATGTTACTAATGGGTCACACTAAAAACACTAAAAAGCAAAGCCTCTGTGGGCAGTTTTTGTAATCAATGAAATTTCTTTTAATTAGTTACTTTTCTTTTTATAATATGCAAAAAATGTAAAGGCACATTATTCATAACTAACGTTTACTTTTGACTCTACCAATACAGTATAAGGCATTTCTTAGAAAGAAAAATAAATAATATTGTAAGAAATGCATTATTTTCAATACATTGGATAAATATGTGCAACAAAAAGGCATCTACAATAAACAAATAAGCAGGGTAATTGCATTTGCTTAAAATTATACAACACGTTTTATATTATATATATAAAGTGTATATATATATATATATATATACACTTTATATATATATATATATATATATATAATAAACAAATAAGCAGGGTAATTGCATTTGCTTAAAATTATACAACACGTTTTATATTATATATATAAAGTGTATATATATATACACTTTATATATTTAATATAATATATATATATATATATATATATATATATATGAAGAGTTCAGATGCAAAAGCCTCTAAGTGCATTTGAAATTTTCTTCTAGAATGATCATTTTTATCAAGCTTGTATATTTAAGTTCAGTGATTTCACTTAAATGGCAATGATAATTACCTATTAATTGTTATTTAAGTGAAATTACTGAACTTAAATATACAAGCTTGAAAAAAATCATCATTAAAGAAGAAAATTTCAAATGCCATTTAGAGGCTTTTGCATCTGAACTCTTCATATTATATAATATATATAATTATACAACACGTTTTATATTATATATATAAAGTGTATATATGTATACACTTTATATATATAATATAAAACGTGTTGTATAATTTTAAGCAAATGCAATTACCCTGCTTATTTGTTTATTATATATATATATATATATATATATATATATATAAAGTGCATTGAGCTCTGTTATTACCTGTGTGCTCACTAATATTGCTTTCTAACACAGGAAACCCGAGGAGATTGATGGACATGTGCCGCATTAGAATCCGGAAGATCATGGGCAAGGAGCGTCTGCCATGTATCTCTTCCCTTCCGCTGCCAGAAATCGTCAAAAGGTTTATGTTTCACATGGATTGATGTGGCTCTGCTTCTCCATGTAGATGGTCGATTCATTTGAGGGCCAGTAGGTAAGTGGCCACTCACTTGCACTGGAAACCAATGTCTTCCAAGGTAATGGCATTTTTCTGTGTTGGTTCTGGGGGAAAATCTGTGGAATAAAGCTGAGAATACTACAATTTTATTGTGAGTACATAATAGCTAAAATATTTAATAAACGCGCTGTTGCTGCCATTTCAGAGAGTTTTAGATACTCAGCTTGCCAAAGAACAATCACTGCAATACCAGTAGTAAAATCATTGTAACACACTACGTTTTGTGCCTTATTGCTTTAATGAAGGACAATATTGAACAGCTCTGATGAGAGAAAATCATATGAAGATTAGTCCTATATTTGTTATTTTAGCTAGTGATACTGCATTAAAGTAATGACTCTGGTGCTTTTTGATGTTTTTACATCACCAACATGTGAATAATATAATGCTGAAAATATTTTCCTTCATAGCCCCTGTATTTTTTCAATTCCCAGTTGTGTGAAGTGTACATCTGTACTTTATTGAAGCAGCTTCTACTGTCCTTGGATATTTTAATTTGTTGCACCTTTTGTTTTCCTCTCTTTCAATCCAGATAAATATTTTTTTTACTCTGATACATTCTGATTGTCTTGTTATTCATTACCCTGATTAAAATGTTGGAAGCGCATAGAGAAGTCTAAACATCCTGCCCGATAAGCGTTTTTGCTGTTATTATTATTACAGTAGTGTCAACAATAGCACTTGAATACTTACCATGGCTGCATTTATTTGATCAAAACAGTAATATTAGGATATATTATTATAATTTAAAATAACTTATTTATATTTTGGTATATTTTAAAATTTTATGTATTCATATTACAGCAAAGCTGAATTTTCTTCAGTCATTACTCCTGTCTTCAAGTGTAACATGAGCCTTCAGAAATCATTTCTGCAGAAAAAATTTCACAACGTTTTATGGTTGCTGTATGATGTAGTAATGCACACGATGAAAAGAGTAGAAAACAAATATGGTATTCATTAAATCCACAACTTCATCATGGAAGATCATGGGAGTATATAAAACGAAGAACATAGAAGTAAACACAAGCGCTTTTAATACCTGGTACACATTGTACAATTTTGGGCTGTCCCAGAGGAAAGATGACCAATCGAAGGGATTTCTGTGGTCGTGGCTCCTAAACTCAAACTCAAATTTATTATATCCATGTTAAAAAACACGATAACAAAACAGTACACCTTACAAAACTATTATCAAGAAATATTTCTTATTATCATAATATTTCTGTGTAAACAGTGAAACTTTTTTTGTACTTTTACTTAGTTATGAAACTTGAGTATCACCGTTCATTTCAATACTGATATGAAAAGCCTATTGCTCCCATGAGCTTTGTTTTCTTCGTGTTTGTGTTTAACTTGCTGTGTGTGTGTGTGTGTGTGTGTGTGTGTGTGTTTTAACCCCAGGGGATCATTATTGTTTTTCTCTCTCGGCATGTAAATTATTCCTAAAGTTCATGATTGAAAAACATAATTACCATTAAGCACAGGAAGTAATTTATACTTCCTGTATGATGAATCCTGTCTTTACAGAAGCCCTGCCCACAAGTCTCTCAGGGGTCTTAGCAGATATCATATTGAGCTATCATATCTCACAATCATAAAATGGCCTCTGATGTGCACTGATTCCACTAATTTTTCAGCCATATCGCAGATTTCCCAAGCTTCATCCATCAGGATCACTCTCTGGGTACAACTGCCTTTTGTCCTTGTCTGACTATAACTTTAGTGTGCTGTGTGACATTAAAACCACATCTTGCTAAAAACCACAAACAGTGGAAAGCAAAGCATGGGAAAGCCTGGACTCTGCCAATGAATCACCAGTGGACTCATAGAACTGCAGTCCCTTTATCTGCTTCTGCCCAATGGGGGAAAGGTGGGTTCACACACTACTAAGTGCACTCTTGTCCGTGAGTACCCTGTAATAATCTTTCCTCGGTGCATTTTTGCTGTTATGCTGCCATCGAACACTTGAATTTTCAAAGCTCCCTGTTTAATGTCAATATGTCAACAGCAGATCTTGAGTGACTGTCATTTTTCTCTGATTGTTTTCAACAGCGGATCTGGAAAGAGGCCACTTTGAAACCCCTAAACTCTTAAGAGCAGGATGCATGTTCAGATGGGTGGGCCCTGGATCCCTAAAGTCATCCCAAAATTCTCATCTGTGATTGGCCGTTTCCCAAGTCGAGGATAGGATGTTCAATACAATCTCCTTGATTTGAACTGGGGCGGGAAGCATGTGTAAAAAAGGATTCAATTGGACTTTGGCCATCCAAAATAAATATGTAAGTAGACTTTATAATATAACCTAATACATGTTGGCCTTGTGGTGAAAATCAATCTTTTAATGTTGTTTATATGTCTATGTGGTGTTTTTAATAAGCTTTAAGACAAACTGTGTGCACATTATTAAGTATTAAGTATTTTCTACTTAAAACTGCAGTTTACCAAAGACAACGCGGTTTGAAATCGCCAGTGTTTTTTACGTCACACACAAACTACCATGGAACTGATCAAGTCAATGTGCAGGCGAGGTTTAGCCAGCCCGAACTCATAAAAAGTGTGTATCTATAGCACGATTTTTGTTTTTTTTGTACCATATACGGCAAAAATAGTTTTTGCGAACTCCACACCCCTAATCCTACCCAAGTGCGTATCATTTGCACGGAAAAAAATTTTTGGCGTATAAATGGCACGAGAAATAAAATTCATGCTATAGATACGCACTTTAATGAGATCATGTTGGCTTTAGCATATCAATAGCCGCGTTTCCACTGCCGGGCCAGGGCCGGGCCGTGCTAGTGCGTGCCAGGGCCAGTCGCGTTTCCACTGTCACTTCCGGGGCTTGATCGGGGCTTCCTCAGGGCCAACGGCCAGGATTTCTGGCCCGTCGAATACCTTGGGCCAGAGGGGGCCAGCTCGGGCTAGAGGCGTGCTCAAGGTAAAAGGCGGAGTTTATCGGTGTTATGGAACGTTATGATCTGAAGCAAGATGCACATAGGGGTGTCCATGTTTAACCGATTAACCGTTTAAAATTGCATAACATTTTAATTTGAACTGTAGGCCAATGCCAAATGCTGCACAAAAATATATAGGCTATAGGCTACATATCGACGAATTTTCAGATATTTGTTTGATTTTTTTGCCCCTTAAACATTTAAAATATTTGACAAATTAATATGAAAAAAATATATATTTTACTGGTTTTCTGAGGCCAAATTAAAACCTGGAAATGATATTTTCCCCGCAGTGCTGAATGAGAAGAGCCGTAACCACAGCCTACAGAAAGGGGATTATAGGTGATTTATAGGCTATAATAAATGTGTCTGATAATAAAATAATATAAAATAACGAGGCATTAATTGTTTATTAATAAACTATTGTTTTCTAAATGATTTTCGGCTAAAAACATATCTCCATCTCCGGATGCACATTTAGAGAGAAATTAATTAGCTAATACATAGTCAGAAGATATTGGCTTTCGATTCGAATTTGTTCGTTTTAAATTGGACATTTAAAGCTTTAATCTAGACTAAAGCTTTAAATGTCCAATTTAAAACGAACAAATTCGAATGCGGTGGCTGTTTCAGGTCTCGCGCTTCAGTTCACGGAGATCATGAAGCGCGCCTTGATTAATTGTTAAAGCACAACGTTTTCTTGTTATTGTGAGTTTACGCAAATAAATGTATTTGGGAATAATGTATTATTATTTTCTGTATGACCAGAAATGAAAGAGTATTTTAAGTTGTTTCCACTGAAAGAAATGCAATGAAACTGCAAGTGTTCACATGGGCGTCTCGCAGCCATCAGTGCGTGCTCCACACACACTGGATATGCGCTGATATGCGTCAAAAATATTGTGTTTATTTGTGCTCTGTTCCTTTTTTGGATAAAGGCGTCTTCTACATATGCAGCCTAATAAAATGTTTCAATAATGATGATGATGGTTATTATTATTATTATTATTTGCAGACACGGAGTTTTTGTGAAATGGACGTTTTGCTTATTTTCAATTGGCAATTTCAGTTTGAAGGGTGATGGAAATGCGGCTTTAACTGCTCCGTACTTGCTGCGTTTTATTTCTATAAATTAATTTTGTTTCAAATGGGGTCCAATCAGTTATTAAAGGTGTTAAAAAATTAACTCTGTATCTCGAGGTTGCGGCGAGCACACTATGCACCGAGTATTAACAGATGGGCCTCGGTTAACGGTTAATGAATAACTTGAAAACGTGCCCGCAGCCCTACTTGTTATATCGCGCAAAAAATCGCTGCTTGAAATGGAGAATCGCCTGTACTGGTCTCGTGACACATGGTCTCGCAGCCACTGCGGCAGGTGAGTTAATATACATGCTATCTTCCTAATTAAAAAAATAAATTAATTCATAATACCCGCTGAAATGGGTTGGGTTTTATGACGTTTGATCCAGAAAGGCGTGTTAGGGGTGGGGTCTGGGGCAGCGCTGTGGGGCTACTGGCCCGGCAGTGGAAACGCAAGCCCGTTGGTTGAGGCCCGAGGCCACTAGCTCGGCTCGGCTCGCTGTTAGCTCTGGCCCAGCCCTAGCCTGGCAGTGGAAACGCGGCTACTAACTGTGCTGTGAAGCTGGGGAGTCTCAAAAGAAGCCAGGTTATTGATATGAAAAATCGGATACATTTACGTTCTGTGATGCTCAAAGCGTTTCTGAGGATGCTGATTGTTAGAAGGTAGCTGTCTGACTCTTGAGTTGGTGAACGGGAACATGTTTTTTGTAACATTAACTGACAAGTGACAACATAGTCACAGGCTCTGTAAACAGAAAACAAAGGTAAGGAGAAAGGCATGTGGTTATTTAATAACACATTCAGTGGTATATACATGACAAAACATGACAACCAAGGCACTCATGTAGGGAGCCCCTAAGGGGACACGGTAAGGGTAAAAAAAAATTAGATGGGAGTAAAACATTTTTGTCAATGCTTTTTTGTTCTCTTACAAATGTTTGGTGTTCCCCCAAGAACCTTTGCCTTCACTTGCAAAGAACACAAATGTTTTGTGAAAAGTTTCAAGAGAAAGCAAAAGCATTATTTTTCCTCCCATCTCATATTTCTTTACAACACCATGGGGGCTCTGTACTCATGGCCAAGCCTCATCCCAGCAACTAGTGACCTTTATCCACCTTATTTTGCAATGCTGTTTTGGTCAAGTGGCATCTCTTTTACGCAATAAAATGAAGTAATTTATATAATCTGTAGTACTATATGGTGTATTGTGATGTTAAATCAAGACTTTATTATTCAGTCAAGACTATATTCCACTGTAAGATGATGGTTGTTTGTGCATTTAACTTTGTCCAAGACATGATCTCTGCTTTTTGTTATGGCTGTAGTACAATGTAAGACATTTCATGTTAGTTTTACTTGCTGCCTTGAAAATCAAAGTTCACTCAACTTGAAGACTGCCTTTGTTTTAGGTCAAGTGATGATTGTTAAAACACAACCAACACCAATCAGATCATCTTTTCTCTTTGTTTATCTGGCTGTTCACCACTCAGTTTCAGCAGCCAAATAAGAAGTTATAAATGTAAGGGTCAAGAGCCCAACTAAAGCTAGTACTGATCACCATAATGGTGACTAGTTATTTTCTCCTTCAGTGATTCTGCTTGTTAACATCAGGTGTCTTCAATAATGAGCATTCATCACTCAATGAATCACTTAATTAGCTCATTAAATCAAATTGAAACAAAGGAACTTTTCACTTCAAAGTGAAAGTGATTTTCAAGGCAGCAGGTGAACTCACAGTTTAATGGGCGTATATTGACTCAGAGCTCTAGATGGCACTATCTTCATGTGAAGCCTCACCATGCCTTCTTTCTCTCCACTGGGACCAAACATAAGCATTTTCTATTGGGCATTGTTATGTATGTATGCATGCATGCATGTATATACAGTGCGTAATTATCCATTTAAACATACATTTTGCCATTTAATGACTCATCAGAGTTTATTTTTTGTCTTTATCAAGACCTCCACACTCTTCTGCATTCAACATTTCAAAATGTAGGTTTCTTTTTTGATATAACAAACATTTATATTTTTGGTTTGTAGGTTTTTAACAGCATTCAGATTCCCAGAAGAGTGATTCTGATTCTGTCTGATATTTTGACTATTGTTGAAAGATAAAGATTAATTTTTCCTCTTTTATATTTAATTGTTTTTCCATAAACCAGCTGTAGTTGTAGTTTATCAATTGTTTTATGATGCCATTAACTGCATTCTTGTCTTATAAATGTTTTGGAAAAGTTTTCAATGAAACAATGAGACAATTTCCTCATGCATTTAATTTTGCTTTTAACGGAAATGCAATTAACTACAGCTTAAGATTTTATATAGGCTTATAAAAGTGCATGTGTGCTTGTGTCTGTAAAAAAAAAGAACGTTTTGTCTATTTGTTAAAATTGAGTCGCAGCTGCATGTTGTTTAGTTCATTTTCATCTCGTATCTCACCTTCTATCAGAGTAATTTGCACTTGCGTTCGTATTTTATTTTTTCTTCTATAATTGCAGCACTTTTTTTTTCAAACAGTGATCTCATACCTTTGACTAGCTCGATCTTTTTGTTGTTCAGTTTTCCCCCTCCTCATCCTGCTGGATAGTTCACATTAAAAAAAAAAAGTTTGCATGTGATTTAGATCGGGTATTATTAAAAATGTGCTGTTCCTGCCAAAAAAAAAAAAAAAGCTAGATTTCTAGAAATTAAACACTATTGATATGCAGTCCAAGTAAAACACTATTTTTTTTGCTTGTTTTGTGTCAGGTCAATATAACAGGAAGGGTAGCGATTAAATAAATATTGGTAATTTTTCATTTCTGTGTCATACACATGCAAAATCAATTACAATAGTATTTCCGGTGCAGTTCTCCTCTCAAACCGCCGTTTGCGTGTCAGATCTCAGACAGTAAAGGAAGGCGACGCTTAAATCCGTGGCTTGGTTTAAGACAGGAAATATTGAATGAAGAAAATCTACCAATAAATCTGTGTTAATTAGGAAACCAAAATTGCTTAATGCCTCTTAATTTTTACTTATTTCCAGCAGCACCGGCAGTTGTGAATTGCGGCAGAGGAATGAATGTTCCAGACTAGCTCCTGCCTCCTGAAAGTGTACAGATCTGAAACTAATAAAAAAGCAAACTCAACAAACAAGTCACATCTTTGAGTCCTTGCAAGAGCATTTGGCAACTCATATTGCAGGTCAACAGCCTTTTAGCATTTGGGTTTGTGTTCATTAACCTAGTTCGATTAAGAGATCATGCACATTAGCTGTAGATTGTTGTTTTATTGCAAAACATTAATCTTAAACCACACAAAACTGCTAAAAATAATCTCGCAGAATGTTTTACGTTTTCCCTCATGCGAAATACCACACAGTCCCAGAGTTTTTCCAGCTTTTTAAGTACAGAGGCTTTGTAATTGATAGTATTCATTAAGCCAAACTACCCATGGTTAATTGCTTCTGTGAAGCTTTGGCTCTGGGGAGCAGCTCCACAGCTGAGCTGAACCGTTCGCTCTTGGCCGAGGAACAAAGCTATCAACAGACATGTTTGAGGGCATTCGGGCTTCCTCTTGAAATTAAGCAGGAATTGTCACTCGGCTGACGAACCGCCATCAGACAACAGCATCAGCAGGAACCCTGGAAAAGATGAGGACAATAACAATTCCACGACCACTATGGGAATGCAGTAAAATGTGTTTTCCTGCAGCCTGGAATCCCAGACTTAAACATGCAGGCACAGAATGGAGTGGAAAGCAGCCTGTGAACACCATGCATGCCTTGGGTTGAGTCGCGGGATTGCATCATCGTGTGTCACGAAACCCCCTACCACCAAATCCAAATCCACCACACATACTCCTGAATCATGCTATTACGTAACTCTGAGCACATTTGCAGACTGTGTCGCTTTCTGCAATTCGGATCAAGTGACCCTGAAGTGGAACCGTGAACAGCGTAGGAGGATATGGGGTGTCTCATTTGGACGGAGGCCCCGCAGCGATTCCCTCGGCACTTCCTCTTAGTACGACCCTTCTGACAGAGGGTGGGAAAGGATCCAAGCCCACGGCCCAACGCCACATCAAATCAACCATTTCCTCCCCTGATAAGACGGCACAGACGAGCTTCCCAGATCTCCAATGAGAAGGAAAAGAGATGTTTAGAGGATCAGTCCTGGTGGAGGATGATTTTGGCTGTCTTTGTTCCTTCCCACCAAAGCCTCTCACGTTTCTTCTTTAGCGTCGAGAGATGCTCAACTCAATCTCACGTTGTTTTCAATAAAGGTATATTGCATAAATACCTAAGCCGCCTTCATTTCCAACAGTGGACTTTGATTTTGGCACTTAACCTGGAAATTAGCATCACCCTGGAAGCCTCGACAAACCCCTAATATGATTCTTGCATGTTTTGTTCTTTATCTTAAAGGGTTAGTTCACCCAAAAATTAAAACTATGTCATTAATGACTCACCCTTTATGTTGTTCCAAGCCCGTAAGACCGCCATTCATCTTCGGAACACAGTTTAAGATATTTCAGATTTAGTCTGAGAGCTTTCTGTCCCTCCATTGAAAATGTATGTACGGTATACTGCCCTTGTCCAGAAAGGAAATAAAGACATCATCAAAGTAGTCCATGTGACATCAGTGGGTTAGTTAGAATGTTTTGAAGCATCGAAAACACATTTTGGTCCAAAAATATCAAAAACTACGACTTTATTCAGCATTGTATTGTCTTCCGATTCTGTTGTCAATCCGCGTTCATTGACGACTTCATTCACAGTCTGAGGGAGACGCACACTGTAAACAAAACAATCTTCGCAAACATGTCTAAGGATTTCGACACTGAGGAAGATTTGCATTTTTTTGGTCAAATTGTGAAGCCTAAACATAATCACCAGACTAAAGGACCACCTACACGGCGGTCATATGACTTCAACATCACCATCACTAAGCTTCTGAGCTCTTTTAAATCTTTATTTAAAAACATTTTCCCTGAAAGTTTGAGTTAGAATAGTTTTAAGATCATGATTGTAAACGCAAGGCTGTAAAAGCAGTTAACCAGTTCGGCTTGATGATATTTAATGTCCTCGACAACCTCTGTAGTCCCATTTACACACAAGACAAGTAAAGGCCAAGGAGTTATTACTCATGTACCTTCACCAGACCTTATTTCAGGCATTTAACCAAACAATTCAAAAAACGGCAAGTGCTAAACTCGTTTCTGGGTTGAAATTGCCTATAAGAAATTGCCATCATCATTCCCGCAGCACTCTATTGCACAGCATTTAATGCAGATTGCAAATATACATTCATAAACTTATGATTTAACAGTAGCGGGCAAAGGAAATCATGTCAATTTGAATGTGCACCAGCCCAAAACCCAATGTATGTCATGTTTGTTTGCCTTTTCAGCCAATGCACTCACCTAGTGCTCTTTGCAAAGATGCAAATGGATTCAACCTGAGACCCAGGAGCCTCTAAGGAAGCCCAGGTGGATTGGATCGATTGGCCGTGACGAGGCTATAATGTGAAGAGTCAGCACATGAATAGGAAGGTACACACAACTCGACTTAGCTGACCCGTGTGGCAGAACCTGATACTCCCCGAGCGGAGCGGAGGGCTCCTTTACCTCAGCTTGATCTCTAACTGCCTCTTCTCTTTAGGTTCCTGTCAGGAACATGCATTTCCTGTCTACTTGTTTTTTTTTCTGACATTAAGTTGGAGAGACAGGTGTGTTCTTGATGCTACCTTAACCTGACACCCAAATAGTATGTTCATTTTTTTTGGCTAATTTGTTTAATCAAGAGATACCTGACATTCCTGTTTTGAAACAGCGCAGGGTATATTTATCTTGGGTGGTTGTGCTAAAATACGAAGCGTGCGGGGCCTGTGATGATTGAATGTAATAGTTGCATGAATTTCCACATGGAATGTTTATTTGGAGCAATGATTGCTGGGTACTCTGAGGTGTGTTAAGAAAGCTCGCAATCTCTCGCTGGATCTCGTCAGCATTGCGTGACAGTGGAGTGAGGATCCGGTCCTTGGTGAATTCCATCGTGAAGTATATTGCTCTTGTGGTTTCAGACGGTTTCTGAAGTCACGGCGAGGCTTGTTGATTTATAATCTCAGATGTCATCCTTCACAATGACTCTCCTCTGAGACAGACCCTCCGTTCCAAGCTCATTCGACAAGAATGCTTCCTGTAGAAATGGGCGCATTCAGTCTTCAACCAAAGCTTTGGGTTGGCTTTAGTTAGGCACGTGCTGTACTGCCTAACTTTTCTCAAGTTAAACACTGGACTGTAAATGTACTCTTAAAATCACAGCAGACTTTTGACTTTTGACAAGCTCTTGGCTCTTTAGAAGAGCCCTAAGTGGCGAGGGAAACTCCGTAACGTATGATTAATGAATACCCGACTCACCCTGATTGGTTGTGGATGTGTATCACGTCGTATGCCCTAGGCCATTGCACATGGAGACACAAATAACCACTTTTTTATGACCTAAGTTGCTCCAAACCTCCAATGTTTCATCCCTGATACACGCCTCCCTCTCGTCAAAAACTCATACGCTCATTAGTATCCACATCCTCTGTAATTTACTCATCAAGAGGACAGCATCCTCAATTTGCTGAGCTGATTTTGTTTGTCGTTTTCTGGCCCATATTTTATTGCCAATGAGCATAAACTCCATAAACCTTCAGGGTAAAAAAAGAAAAAGAAAAGCTGTCAGGTGTCAAGACGGCCAAAAAATTACCTCTAACTCATTCACAATTATTGGAGTCATGTCAATTCAAAGTGGATTTTGAATGCAACTTCCAAAAACTATTTTTATCCTTCATAATTGCAATAAGTTGTATGATTATGGCCAGAGTCATGCCTTCTGCAAATCATTTACTTTACTGAAACTTAAAGGAGCATTGCGTAAGTTCTGAAATTTCTAACCGTTACTGACACCAGTGGCCGTTATGGCACTTTTCTACTACACAGAACCAGCTCAACTCGACTTGGCTTGGCTCGGCTCGGCTAGCCTTTGTTTGGTTTTCCACTGTGTAAAAGTTGTACCTGTACCTGCTTTCGGGTTTTACCTGTTTTTTTTGTTTTTTTTGCATCACTTCCGGCAAGGTTCTGAGCGCAATAAGGCGAGCTGAGCCGATATTAAAGTGTGACGTGAAAACAATGCCGACTGCTGATTAGTCAGAGAGAATCGTCACCATTCATCATTGTACGCATCACAATGGTGCAGACTTTCCTTTGTTTGGTGGCCGAAGAGAGGATCCAGCGACGAGTTGATAGGGTAATGGAAAACGGAGCAAAAATGGAATGGAAATGGTAATGGAAAAGGGCCATCGGCTCATCGAGATTCACCAGGATCAAATGCCGCTCAGATGTTGACTCTTGTCTTTGCCCGACACCGGTCACTCTCTATTTTGGTCGCACTAGATAAGGCTTTTTTTTTAACTTATGAGGAGTTTCCGTGTGTGTCTGGATTGTGCTGGAGGCTGGTCGCTTCTTTCCGTTGGTGAGTCCTTTTGAAAGACTAGTAAGCAGCAGCAATCGCTAGCAGTAATGGTTGCCGTACGGATGGAAGCTTGAGTAGATGAGAACGCGCATGACGTCATATTTTGTGAATTTTCGCGCCAATTCGAACCAGAGTCAACCGACTCCTCCATACACAATTTAGACTACAGGCTGATAGAGGCAACCGTGGTGCACTGTAAACAAAATATTTTCAAGATTTGTTATCACAACATTTTTTCTTTTGTCAGATCAACTTAAATCATTTATTTAGTTCAGATAACTTATTATTTTGAGTTTCTGATGATTAAATTAATCTCAATCATTGTAATAACTCATTTTTTCCAGTTCAATCAACTTAAAATTTTAAGGCAACCAGGTTACTTACTTTTTTAAGTTAAACCAACAATATTTTTTTACTGTACAGTGTGGACAGTCAAGGTGTCATTCTTTCTATTACATTATGGTTGGCTCATAAATGTACAAATGAAAACTCTATCTTAAAGATTGTTTTTAAGTAAAATCCTACATATAGCCCCTTTAACTGAAGATTCTGTTGCCATCTATAACCACTATCATGAATATTAAAGGGATACTCCACTTTTTTTTTTTTTTTTGTAAATAGGCTCATTTTACAACTTCCCCAGAGGTAAACAGTTGAGTTGTATCATTTTCGAATTTTCTAATATTTAGAAGAATATAAGAAACCGGACAGTTTCTGGTCTTATTGACTTTCATAGAAGAAAAAAATATACTATGGAAGTCAATGAGACCAGAAACTGTCTGGTTACTGACAGTCTTCTAAATATCAGAAAATCGGCTGAATACATTCGAAAACGGTAAGACCTGGTAAAATGGTAAAATGAGCCCATTTCCCAAAAAAGTGGAGTATTCCTTTAAAACTAGTATTCCTTTCTTGACTATTAATCCAAAATATGCAATTTCTTTATATGAATTATATTATTAAAATTTGAAATAATATAAAAATAATCTCTTCTCTATGGCAGTAAAAAATAATTGTACATGACACTACTGAAAACAGTGCTCAACAGTAATTGTTTTAGACCATGAATTTGTCAGCAGCGCACAGCAAATGACAGAACTTCCTCTGATTACCCCTCAAGAGGATGTGATATTAGATGTGTTTGTTTGCTTGCTTTTAACTCAGCAATGCTAAAGCTGTGTACCGTCTGCTCGCTGCATTACAGGCTGCAGGAGGAAGCGAAGGACAGATCTTCAGGAACTGGAGAAACAGCTGGTCACTGGCCTGGACTGTGCGTGTTCCCCAGGCCTGTGATCTCATTCGCACGATGGACGTCCCTTGACGTGGCGAAACAGCATCTGACTTTTCGTTCATCACTAAATCAAGCTGATGATCAGGATCAAGTCCAAACAGCTCACATCATGCAGACATTTTATAAAGTTGTATCCACTCATGCTTGACTTTATGTGTTTTTGTGTATTTGCAGAACTGTTTTATGGGGTATAATGAGAGCGGAGAGTCATTCAGTGGAAAGACCAACATTAACTCATATACAGAAGAGAATATACGGTATACTGAGGTACTGTGTCTCAAAATGGGCTCTGCAAGGGTGTACATTATATATTATTATGGTTTCATTCTGCTCTATGCGGATTGGTCGAACATCATAGATTAATCACAACATTTTCATTCTATTGTCAATTTATTTTTAGTTTTATACATCTAAACAGTATTCAAATTGTCCTGCATAATTATAGAGAACTAAAACTATTTAAAAATAAATTAATGCCAATGAATCATTCCTCATTTTGATTTAGTTTATCTTGAAATCCTAAAATAACTACAACTGAAATAATTATTAATAAAATCTATACAGACATATTTTTTTAAATAAAATTGAAAATGACAAAAGTAAAACAAAATCAAAATTAAAATATTAATAAAAATGATAGTAGTATCTCAAAATCAAATAACACTGGTGGGGTTTAAAAAATATATATTTATTTTTATTTAAATGTATTAATTTATTTTCTATTTATTTTTCATGTTTTTCATAACTATTGTTATTATTATTATTATTATTAATAATTTGTTTGATTTAGATTTATTTATATATTTAAATTAATTAATCAATTAATATAGCTGCGTTTATATTTTAGGAAGGGGGTCACTCATCATATTTATGGGGTCCCGAGCATCAAAAAGTTTGAAAAAACCTTCTGTATCCAACAATACAGTGTTCCTGACTTGACCATTTCCAGTCAGATGAATGAATATTGGTCATTTGATCAGACTGCCAAGAATGAATGAACAAAATTGGATGAAAAATACATTTCTGAGATGATAACTATGCTGAATGAATCATGGACCCATACATTATGGGGACAAAAGATGGATTTGAGTCCCATGATGAAAACATCTTACGAATCATACTAAGTAATGTTTGTTGAAAATGTAAAAATGCAGAACGTTTTCTGTGATGGCTAGATTTAGGGTTAAGGGATAGAATATACAGTTTTGTACAGTATAAAAATCATTGTAAATGGAAAGTCCCCATATATGCATGTATTTCTCATATATTTTTGACAGTATGGTGAAGTGTTAGCTGTGGATTGGCCCAGCTATACTAGCCAAACTCTGTGCATAAACATTTCAACCCCTGATGCCGTTTTATTTATCGCAGCGCACTTCCACATCCTCTGCGAACGGGCGGCATGTTGCTTTGATAAAAGCGAGTCGGCCGGGGTGTAGGTGGGGTGTGCTTTGCATGCAACAGGCCACTCCACACTGTTATTCTTCTCTCGGTGTTTGATGGATGGGAGGTTTGCCAGAGAGCTCGTGTGTGTGTTTATAGTGTCAAATGCGTACCACATGTAGGCTCAGGTCTGGTTCTGCACCGTCTCTCTCTCTCTCTCGGAGAGCATCCTGATGGCAGACAGCCGTAATCATCCCGTCTTACTCCTCCTCGGCATGCGCTGCACCTGCTTATGGTGCTCAAGTACTTTTACAGACCATTTCCAACCGGCTTTCATTCATTAGTTCAGTATGGATTTATTCTGATATACAAAGGCTAAATGGACAGCTCTGTGCCAGAGAGCTAATGGAGTAGAGTGGATCCCAGTGTGATTTATACAGGCAAGCTGTAGGGAAGTTCATAGCCTACTGTACATCATCCGTTTGTTGGTGGAAGTGTTTTTTTTTTTTTTTTTGTACAGTATATACCATATCTAAAAACAAAATAATATTATTTAACAAAGTTAAAAAGTTCATTTAGTCAGTCGGTCAAAACGTTTATTAAAATATAACAAACAAGTATAGTATACTATTTTTATTTTTTATGTAATAGGTAACACTTTACAATAAGGTCCGTTAGTTAACATTAGCTAATTACATTAGTTAATATGAACTGCACATATACAGCATTTATCGATGTTTGTTAATGTTAATTTCAACATTTACTAATATTTTATTTAAATCTTGTTAACATTATTAATGCACCGTGAACTAACATGAACAAACAATGAATAGCTGTATTTTTATTAACTAGCGTTAACAAAGATGAACAAATACAGTAACAAATGTATTGCTCATGGTTAGTTCATGTTAGTTAATACATTAACTAATGTTAACTAATGAACCTTAAAGTGTTACCATTTTTTTTAAGTTTCAGCGACTTTTTAAGTGATTCATCCTAAAGAGACATTTTAATGCACTGTTCAAAATAAATATTGTATATTTTAAAGAAATGTATACTTAGAAAGATCACTTCAGACTGAAGCGCCCGCAGTCTCAGATCACTTGGACGTGGATGTGGTTACAAGAGGTAAAAACGATACAAATACTGTTCGTTTTCTCACACAAACCGCTCGTTTCGTGTCTTAGGCCATTAATGTGTACTTACATTTACGAGTCATTAAATCACGTTTAATTTGGACTTTTCTGTGCATGCTCTTTGAGGTGGTGACCATAGACCTCCATTATATGACTGACAAGAACAGTTTGACCTAAAAATATCAAAATTGAAACTACTGCGGAAAAAAAAGACACCTACATCTTGGATGCCCTTGAGGTAAGCTAAAACATATCAAAAATTAATTTCAAAGTGAACTATCCCTGTAAGAGCTTGTCATTTGAACTCAATGGCACAATTGCTGCTGTGGCTGTTCTTCAAATAGAACGTTTCAGGATGTAGATGGTTAAGGATATAGTTGACTTGTTTACAGTTTACCTGGTGAAATGATCAGGAAGAAATAAAAATGCATTTCTTTTAGATACATGGCATTGTAAAATTCAATTACACTATTTGAAGTTACTTTGGCTTTATTGAACTGACGTCGCTGCTTATGTACCTCTGAGCGTAGAACCGCAATGTCTGTGCCGCTCGGGATAATAGTATCTACTTAAGCTTTTATTTACGCCCTGCAAAAAGCACTAAAGTGCTTTACCTCCAGCAGGACAGCAGTTTTAAAACTCTTCCATTTTAGTCACTGGAGAATGTGACATACTGACAGTGTCATAAAGCACCGCTTCATCAAAGCCTGGACACTCAGCAGGCCATGATAAAAGCATCATCACAGTCTTTTTCTGACTTCATAGCTCTCCTTATGGAAACCGAAGACGAGCGATCGAGGCTTTGGCTCCCTCCCAGACTCAACATGCTCACATTTACCCTTCTCCAACGGTCTGGACGCCAGCCGGAGACAAAGGGCAGATGTTGTGCATGGTGTGTTTCTTCTACAAGGTTTATTTTCTCGGTCTGTGTATACATGCAATTTGTTTATTTACTTCTTTAGTCTGTACAGTATCCACCAGAGGCTCACTTCCGCTGAGAAATGATTTTGTTTACAGGGCAATTTTCACATATGCAAAGGCATACACGCTGCTCTCTGTGATGGCAAACCACTTCCTAAGATGGGACCGATCACACACGTGTCAAACAGGGGCATGAAGGGTTTTTTTTTAATGAAGTGTTTACCAACCTTTTGCTATTATGTACGCCTACAGATCTAGCGGTATGGCTCAAACCTGAAACGTGTTCTCCACTACAAATAGGAAAAAGAGGCTACAATTTGCAAGAGCTCACCAAAATTGGACATGAAGGTTTCTTGGAGACGTTACTGTAGTTCTTCTGGAAATAGTCTGTCTCAGTTCATCTAATCCCAGACAGACCTTAGATCAGATCTCTGTGTGGATCATAGCGGCTATTGTCAGACTCCTTGTTTTTATAAAAATCTCCCTGGATTATTACAATTAATGGCGAAATGAATGTTTGGAAATGTAAACTACCCAGGTTGAACCAACGTCAGACGCGTCATTCTTTCAAAACTAACGGAAAATCAACTTGAAATCAACGCGTTGTTTCAACGTTATGAAAGCAAACCAATTTTCGATTTTCATTTAGCTTTGAAGAATGCCGCGTCTGACGTTGGTTCAACGTTAATTCGATGAGCAAAATCAACGTTGTTTCAATGTCATGAGAGACGTTGTTTCCACGTTGATTCAATGTCAGTTTACTATCTGGGTAATATATCCTACTCACACACTACAACTGTGTACAGTATATATAGGTGAAAGCGACATGTGAAGGCCAAGTATGGTTGCCCATACTGGGAAATTGTCATCTGAATTGAACCCATCCAAGTTAATGCACACATATAGTGTTTAGTGAACACAAACACATTGGAAGCCGCCCGAAGCAGTGGGCAGTAGCGCCTCCTGCCAGTGTTGAGACTCGAACCCTGAAACTTCGGCTTACCAGTGTCACTTTCTAAACATTAGGCCACGATTGCCCTCATATACACAGTATATATATGGTTTACCAGTGTAGCGTGGTGATCAGTTGCACCCCGGCCCACCACATTGCCTCCTGCGGCGGAGTGGGAATCCTGCACGCCCTGCTTCCCCCAACTCCTAATTCAAAGCACATTTCACCAAGTGCGGCTTAGAGAGGGGATGTGGCTAAAACAAATAAAAGAATCATAAAGGAGGGATCAAAGCAGGCCTGCAAATCCATTCCTTCTGGGTAAAGAGCCTTTCATAAAAAAGGGGGAAAAAAAAATATGAAAAGAAATCCCACATCCCGACTACATATCTCATGGAACGGATCACTGGCAAACGCGTGCCTGCGCCGGATTGATGGAGCGGACACTGTTGGCAGGGCTCGACTCGCGCCTCCACTCAGAGCGAGTGCGCATGGGGCCGTTTTCATAACTCGCTGTTATCAAGCCTTTGGGGAAATACGTATGTGTGTGTTTATGTATGCATAGATGGGGGTCTCGAAGACAGATGTTGGCACGGACGTATAAACCATTATAAAGCGCAGGCCACCAGGAAGTCGGTAATGCTCTCAAGGCGTCGCTGCCTGGGCAGGAACATTTGGTGACCATTGTGAAGATATCCCTCAACACAGCTGCAAAAGAGCGCGAGGGACTGACATAACCTGCTTCATTTAGCCTCACAGCTGAGTAGACAGGCATTATCCTAGTGAAGGGTGAGGGCTTTTCCATCACACAGACATCCGCCACGCGTAGTTAGAGGATTCTGGGTAAATCTGGACTGGAGCTACACTTCGCACGCAGTGCATACTTGCAGAGTGATGCGTCTGTGCTCGTAATTTGCAAACGCTGTCGTTTCACACTCGATTGACAGAGTTTCGCAACAGATCGTTTTTTAAAGGGAGACAAATAATGTTGTGAGTGAAAATCCACGGCTAGGTTTGGATTTATTTTACACAGGATCAAAGAAATTGAGTTTTTTTTTTTCACAAACCGCACAATGACTGACTTTCCCCAAGTAAGACAATGAATCTTCGAACCCTCCGAAAAACCCAACAAAAACACATTACCGTAATGGGCAATACATATTCCAGAGT